ACAAGACGATATGTGTCTACCCCCTGTAGTCTTTTGTTGTAGTTACTGCCACTGTAATTGAGTGCTGCAATTGTAGAGCATGTAGCTTGCTTATGTTGACCATCGTGTGGAGTATACAACCCCGATCCCTGTACTCGATGAATACTTTTTTTTCAAGAGTGAGATTCAGGAACTGAGAAGTCAAAGATTTACTTCTACATCGACATACATTCATGTTTCCCTTACTCCATCGAGCCACTAAACAGTCCCCATTATTCAAGCTACATCAATTGAGATGTCTTACGCAATACGCAAAGAATCCACAAATTTATATCCATGAGACCCCCCAAAAAGGCTACAAATTCTCGCTATCCAAGAACCCAAATGCTTTACCCATTGGAGATTCACAAGTCACCGACCCCAAACCCGGAAACTTCACAATCAACAAGAGATTCGTTTCTGTCATGAACAAGACTTTTGAGACCAAGGTCTACGAAGACTTTACATTTGTAATGGAGGCAGGAACTAATGCCAACTCATTCATGCCAGTATATGATTTCAGAGATATCCCGAAATACTCAAGACAACCGTATATTGGAAATGTGTTTGGGTATTTGCAAGTGGACGCTAATGCCAAGATTGTTCCTGGAAGCTGGCAACGAAATGATTTGTATGAGTTGTGTAGTGGTAAAGATGGGTTGTGCCATTTCAGTGAGTTTATGTATGAAACGTTGCAACAAGAGTGTGAGAATGCAAAGTAAAAGGAGAGAAGTGGGGTTTAGCTTTTACTGTGATTCTAATGTACATAATATCTTCGACAAGTTTCCATTATTAGTCCCTTGTTTCGTTATGCATAAGATAGCTATTGTGCAATTTAAAAAAAATTGCTTATGGAAGCTACATATGATATAACATGAACTGGTATAATTAAATCTGTTTCTGAAAGATTTCACAGTCACCACGCAAGCTGGATCACCCTCAAGACATCTCTCTATCATTTTTTGGGCATTGATCCACTTGCATGGACAAAATTGAAATGAGTTGGTTCATTGTGGTCTTGTAGGTTATATTTCAGGGGCTACAAATCATTATACTAACAATAGATACAAAACAAAAGCAGCTAGTATGGTAAATTCTTCATCTTTAATTTGATTAACATTCTACTCATGCTACAGGAATGCTTTGTAGACTGAGTAAATTATGACATGTGGCATTGATTGGCAACATATATGTTAGTTACAGCAAGTTAATCTTGAAAGCGAAACTGAAACAGCCGGTGCTCCAGCGAGGACTAGCCACTAGATTCTTGCGGCACGATCCCGAAAGGCATCACAATGGGATCCTCTTTCTTTGGGAAAATAATCGGACTTGCCGTTTGATTCATCCCGTATTACATTGATAGCATTACACTCTGAGTCGCTAGCCCTTGCGAGCCATCTCTAGTCCAGCTCGTACCTGATTCAATGGATCCATCAAGAAGTGGATTCAATCATCAAAACACAACCAATTTAGGATCCCTTGGTAAACCATTCTCATCGATATCGTTCCTGTTCAACTCGTGTCTAGTATACTCTAGTCTGGCTTCATCAAAACTGATACCCTTAGTGCTCATGATCTTCTTGATTTCAACTTTTGCAGCCTCACTTAACCCCTTTCTTGAGTCATTCAAATTATTGGCTTCCAAATCGAAATTCGTACTGGTCAACCCATCATTGATGTCGCCTTCAAATGAGCCCAAATTCTGGTAATAGCCTTGTTGGATCCTTCTTCTAGTTCTGTACCTGTCGAGCAACTCACCAAGTTTATGACGAAGGTGAAATATTATACCAAAAAACACAATACACAGGATGATAAGGACATAGTGTGAGCGAATGAAAGATGACGATAATTGAATCGAATCACTGGGTTGCTCAGTTGGTTGTTGCGATTCTTCTCTTGTATGCTCTGAAATCATTGGGGGGGGAGTAGGGATCTTGTCTTTGGTGATTGTGGGAAGGGGGTGGTTGAAGACGTGATCAACTACAAGCCTCTAAACTCCTTAACTCTTGCGTCGTTTTCAGATTTTCTCGGCCTGCGCACGTTGTTAACTCCGTATTTGCAGTAAAGCTCGAGAGATTTATCCAAACTCTTTTGAAAAACTTAGTAGCATTGCACAGGTACTTTGAGAATAAAACACCTGCTGGTATTCACACCCTTCGTTGCAACATTGCTCCCAAATGAAAAAAGTGTGCACCATTAACATTTGTACTGGTGACTTCCTCGTTTGGTCAAAGCCCGCTATAACACTGAAAAATAGAGAGAGGGTGGATCGAAAGAAAGAAAACTGGTTTTTAAAGGTTGCTAAAAGTATAAAAGTTCCAAATCCTGTTGAATCATTTTGGATTCAACGCGTTACTTGTGCTGCAGCTGAACGCTGTAAAATTTGCAGTAAAATTCAGGGAATAAAACTAGTTTTTCAATGCATTTCAACAATGCAAACCGACAAATTTCTTGAGTCCCAACCACAGAGATAATGGTTAAGACTTATTTAACCAACACAAGTACCCTTTTCCTTTAACCATCAAAGCAGTAGATTCTTTGATTATCTTCTTACATACTTTGCAAAGTGTCGGATACTTTTTCAAGCAAATTATGGTGGGGAGGGGATTGTTTTTTTTTTTTTTTTTTTTTCCGCCAATAGCGGATCTGTTTATTTAGCTCCACCAAATACGGATCAATAACCCCGCTTGAAAAGTTCAATAATAAATGAATTGTAATAACCGCGCTAGTGTTCCCGGTAAGGGCAATTATATAAGTAGCTGCAATGCGGCATAAAGGGTCAAGTTAGATCAGGGATCTTGGGGATATAAACCTTCGACAAGAGTAAAGAGTGACACCGTTCAGCTGCAAAGTCATACATCCCATACACCCCGCATCACAGTCAGATACTCAAACCCAAAACAGAATGTCAGTCAAATTACCCTCTATCGTTGATTCCGACTTAGACTCCCTCTATGCACCTGACGATAGACCTGAGGTTTTTCAAAACTCCAACGACTTGCCCCTTGAAACTTTGGTAAACCACATCTTGCCTATTTCACAAGATATTGGAGGAAGAGTGCTCAAGGTCCCGGGAACTGCAAAACCAGGATTTTCAGAGATTTTCAGAAATGGGGCTTTCCCAAATGGAGTGAAGGAGTATTTGTTGCCAGAATTGAACACTTACCATGCCATATTCGAGTCAGCTGTCCAGAGACATCCAGATAGACCTTGTTTGGCCTACCACGAATACGAGTTTGAGAACCAAGAACACAAAGAGAGATATGTCTCTGTCACTTACAAAGAGGTGAATGATTGGAAAAACAACTTTGCCAGCGGATTGGTGTTTTTGCTCGAGACCAACCCATACAAAAATCTAGACTTGGAATCTCACCAAAAGATTATCAACCACGCTAGAGATTACAAGAGTTACAACGCATATAACCTCTCATTTGTTGCAACATTCTATTCAGGTAACAGACCAGAGTGGACCATTGCGGATTTGGCATGCTCATCCAATTCTATTGCAACGACTGCATTGTATGACACGTTGGGTCCAGCATCATCCAAATTCATTTTACAAAGTACTGAGTCACCAGTGATTGTCTGTTCCAAGAATAAAGTTGAAACATTGGTTAGTATGAAAGCATCCAACCCCAAAGAGCTCGAATCGTTGATAGCTCTTGTCTCGATGGATCCTTTAAACGTAAAGGACAACAACAAGGACGCAGCATTGGTTAAACTTGCTGAAAAGAACAATATCAAATTGTATGACTTCAATCAGGTTGTGAAAATTGGCGAAGTGTTTCCTCGAGAAGCAACTATCCCTAGTCCAGATACTACTTTTACACTCACGTTTACTTCGGGAACTACTGGTGCAAACCCAAAGGGAGTGGTTTTATCGCAAAGAGCAGCGGCTGGTGCTATCCAGGGGTACTCAATGTTACTACCCCACCATAAAAACATGAGAGAGTTTGCATTTTTGCCGTTGGCACATATTTTTGAAAGACACATTTCTGCGTCAATGTTTCTCTGTGGAGGTTTAGTAGGGTTCCCAAGAATAGGTGGCACTCCTCAGACGTTGTTTGAAGATTTGAAACTTTTCAAACCCACATTTTTTGCATGTGTCCCGCGTGTCTTCTCCAAGATCGAGACAACCATTAAGGCGTCAACAATAGATTCCTCATCAAGAATTAACAGAGCCTTGTACACTCAAGCCATTGAGGCGAAGCGCTCGAAACAAGCCAGCGGTGGTAAAGGTGAGCATTTCATTTATGACCAAACTTTGATCAGAAATTTACGTTCCAAGTTTGGTTTTGATAATATAGAGACTTGCTACACTGGTGGTGCTCCCTGTGCTGCTGAAAGTATCGAGTTTATGAAAGCTAGTTTAGGAATTGGTTTCAGTCAGGGATATGGACTGAGTGAATCCTTTGGTGGAATCGTTATGTCTTTGCCATTCCATACACCCAGTGTGGGAACGTGTGGCTCAATTAGCCCTATGGTGGAGGCCAGATTGAGAGCATTGCCAGAAATGGGCTACGATTTGACTGATGAGGGTGGCCCAAGAGGAGAGTTGCAATTGCGTGGAGCAACAATGTTTAGCCACTACTATAAAAATCCAGAAGAAACTAAGAAAAGTATCGATGAAGATGGGTGGTTTTCAACTGGAGATGTGGCTCGTATCACAAACGAAGGATGGTTCAATATTATTGACAGAGTCAAGAATTTTTTCAAATTAGCTCAAGGAGAATACGTCACCCCTGAAAAAGTGGAGAACTTGTACCTCACTACTAACTCTATCTTGACACAAGTGTTTGCACACGGTGACTTTACTCAATCGTACTTGGTTGGGATCATCGGAGTCGATCCGGTTAGTATCGTTTCGTTTCTTAAAGAAGAATGTAACGTGCCAGCTAGTGAGTTAGACACCGAAGAGAAAATCCTCAAAATTTGCAATACACGCAAAGTCAGAACTCAATTACTATTACATTTAAACACAAACATTGCATCTGCTCTCAATGGGTTTGAAAAGTTGGCTAATTTATACATTGAGTTTGAGCCGTTGAGATTAGAAAGAGAAGTTGTTACCCCAACATCTAAATTGAGAAGGCCAATCGCATCCAAATTCTTCAAGTCGCAAATTGATGCCATGTACAAAGAGGGCCAAATTTTGAAGGATTTGAAATTGTAAGCGCAATGCTCTGACCATCGTCAGGAGCACAATATATAGATATACAAAAATTCACTTAGAGACTTGACGATGTGAGCCGTAAGACTTTATTTACTCTATTGCATACAAATAATTGAAAAAAAAAAAAAATATAGCTTTTGTGATGTGACTTTACTTTTTGCTTTCATTGAAAGTTGTGTTGTGAGTCTCTTGCAAATTATATGAGCTTATTTTTAGTGCAAAATTCACAGAAGCATGTTACAGATAAAGATTGACCAACCTTTCAACGTTCATATAGAAACCCTCTGCCCTCCATAGTTTCCTTTGCCAGCCTAATATTCTAATAAGTCGTTTCACAGATGTAATCAAAACTGCAATCTCCTTTGTTTACCCCTATGTTGTTTTTGTGGCGAAAAGTGTTGCAAAAAATAAAATTACGAGCAAAAGAGCACCAACAAGAAAGCAAGAAACAGACGCAAATAGATGTTGATAGAGTCTGTACATCTCTAGCTAGCTAGGAGATTCATGAGCAAGCTACACGTAAAGGCAATAAATTTGGGATCAATGAGCTTTGTTTGCTTGCATTGAAGGCTATTTTGGAACATTTCACTCTACTCTCTCAACTCCAGTTTATCTCTTTAACGCAATACATCTATTCCTTGGAGCCATATACATTCAAACAATGGTTGTTTCTAATGTCAATTCCCTCACAAACTCTTTCGGTATCTTAGTTGGCGGTAATTTTTTGGTATTCTTTGAAGCATATCAC